CGATTTTCTTAAAAATCAGAATTTTGCACATTTTGCCAAATTTCACGATTACGGACCATTTTAGGAAAATTTTGTATGAGGCAAAAATTATGGAGAATAATATAACATTTGTTTGAATATTTTTCTTGTTTAAACGTAAATAACAAATATATTTAATAAAATATAAAAATGATCCCCCAGATGTTCCGACTCTGCCCAAAATCTAATCAGTTCACCGAAAACCGGAATAAAGCTTAAGTTTGACATTTGATGTTTTTCTTTATATTCGTTCATGAGTTATCGTGAATACAGGCATACACACACACACACACACACACACACACACACACACACACACACACACACACACACACACACACACACACACACACACACACACACACACACACACACACACACACACACACACACACACACACACACACACACACACACACACACACACACACACACACACACACACACACACACACACACACACACACACACACACACACACACACACACACACACACACACACACACACACACACACACACACACACACACACACACACACACACACACACACACACACACACACACACACACACACACACACACACACACACACACACACACACACACACACACACACACACACACACACACACACACACACACACACACACACACACACACACACACACACACACACACACACACACACACACACACACACACACACACACACACACACACACACACACACACACACACACACACACACACACACACACACACACACACACACACACACACACACACACACACACACACACACACACACACACACACACACACACACACACACACACACACACACACACACACACACACACACACACACACACACACACACACACACACACACACACACACACACACACACACACACACACACACACACACACACACACACACACACACACACACACACACACACACACACACACACACACACACACACACACACACACACACACACACACACACACACACACACACACACACACACACACACACACACACACACACACACACACACACACACACACACACACACACACACACACACACACACACACACACACACACACACACACACACACACACACACACACACACACACACACACACACACACACACACACACACACACACACACACACACACACACACACACACACACACACACACACACACACACACACACACACACACACACACACACACACACACACACACACACACACACACACACACACACACACACACACACACACACACACACACACACACACACACACACACACACACACACACACACACACACACACACACACACACACACACACACACACACACACACACACACACACACACACACACACACACACACACACACACACACACACACACACACACACACACACACACACACACACACACACACACACACACACACACACACACACACACACACACACACACACACACCTATTTTTATAAAAATTAACTTTTTCTTTGTAAATAAGTATAGATGAATATTTTGTGGATTGCTTATATTACCGACTCTTCACTAGAATCACTTATTTGGAATTATAGTAACCTTATTTATTAAACATATTCTAGTAATTAGGCATTCCAAACAAAATTGTTTCCTGATGCCATTAATGGCTGGCGGCCTAGTCTATAAGGGACTACTATTGAAAGGCACTTAAGACATAAAAAATTGATAAAAACTTACCAGGACATTTTAGGTTATCCAATAAGTGGTATTCCTCTAATTTAGCACATTTTGTACGTATTTGTGTTCTACTACTTCGTCAAAATTGTAGATGCAGTGTACAAGTAATAGTTTTGTCACATTTATCTTATAATTCATTAAAACTTGTCTAATTCATTAAAACACGTATCTACATGTTTTTATTATACAATTGCGTTAAAAATCGTCTTGTATATAAACATTTTTAACATTTGTCTTCATTAGTAAGTTTTTAATATTATATAGCTTTCCAAAGATTTTACAATTCATTTTTTAGAAAGCCAAAATCTCGAAAAATTATTATTTAAACATTTTGCACTGCTGCACGCCTGCGAGCAGAGTATTTGTTTATATTAGGACTGTTCCAACAACGATAAGAAAACAGTCATTGACATCAGGATTGTGCGCAGTATAAATTTTGCTGTTAAATAATTTACTGCGCAGAATCCTGGTTTCGGATAGTTGTTGGAACAGACCTATGTCGGGGATATCCATAGTCCTTTCAGGAAACACCCTAATTCGATTATGTTACACATAGAGATCGCTGTGCTGTTGGGCAATTATATGTACGCAAGTGCTTTAATAGTAGTATAACACTGCCTTAAATTAAACAATTTTATACATAGAAAATATAATTTAGGTAATTGATTTTAAATGATTTTATACTTTCATATCATAGTATTTATAAGATACTGATTTTGTAGAACACGAATTATCCCTGCTGACGGAATTCCTGGCCTACATAAGACGTGTCTCATCTTAATCTGGAATTTCCTTCTACCAAGGTACGACCTGAGCAGTCCTATCCCTGTCATCTCTGCTCTGTATCATTGGTCCTTCATCCTGTATATCAGCCCAGCTTTCCATATTCTGTCAGATGCATGTTCGACATCTAATAATATAGCTTCTGTTGACTCATTTCTATTAAATTCTTTCGTGATACCTTCGACTAGTCTCAGGACTTGCAATTTAGTCGAATGTTCCTCTCTGAATCCAAATAGCTTGTCGGTAATAACGTTATCTGGTCTCCTCTTTCGGTCTTGTTAATATTACTCTTTCTACAATTTTACTCAAAGCTGGGAACAAGCTAATGGGCCTGTAATTTTTCAGAAACATGGGGTCCTTATTTAGTTTCCATATCATTTACACCTCTGCATGTTTTCACAATCTCGGGATGTACTGAGTTATTTAAATTCAATTTAAGATGGCTGTAAGATAGACTGTGACCTTCACCAATGTGTGTTTGATGGCACGATTATAAATATCTTTTTCATATGCCTTTTTGGTTGACAAGTATTTGATTATGCCTCTCACCTCGTCAGGAGATGTAAGCGCAAGTTGTCATATTTCGGGATCGTTTTCTTAATCTTCTTCCTCTTCTTCGGTGAAGTCCAAATCTTCGTCTTCTTGTTCTTTATTTAGACATTCTATCTCCAACGAAGTGGCCAAGACATATTTTATAGGCAAAGGCTAAGTATTCGAATAGTATATGTTGGCCCAGATGATTCTAATACAGTTACGCTTTACGTATCAACTGGTATTAATTTATTGGGCCTCTGGGATTTTATTTGTTTGGTGCTATTTTTTTTATTAAAGAAACTCAAAAATTTTTACGTGGAATGATTTATACATTTATAAAAATTTCGTACGTTTATAGTGGTATCTATCCATCCACATTTCAGACCGAATTGGTTAGTAGGCAACAGCAGGTATACGATATTATCCTAAAATCGGATAATTATCCGGACATTGTTAAAACTGCTGAGATGATAAATATACGAGTACTTACTGTCTATACTCTGCAAACTGGCTACACAGCGGCAAGGCAGACATTTTCTTAGCCCTCTTGCATGTACAAATTCTGTATCTGAGACGTCACTCGATCTGATAGCCCAAATACGTCAATTGAAGGCACTACAACTCTTAGCCCTGCCACGAAACCAATCATTGGCACCAGCATTTTGCGTAGTATATAATTTGAGGTCCTAATAACCTACAGCGCAAGATCCTGGTATCAATGACTGGTTTTTGATCGTTTTTGGAACATACCATGCATTTTCCCTTATCCTATTCACTGGGGTTGCTAGGTGGCTGGGCTAATAAATTGCACTGATTTCACATATTCGGGCGCTCGTAGGCCTCAGATATGAAATTTTAATGTGCAAAGAGGGCTACAAATATATTCGCCTTACTCGACAGTATATATCAGAGATAACAGGAGATGTGACTACTAACAAATATCGTGCGGTCGTGAATAAAACATACTCTAAGGCACACAGGAGGGTATAATATCCGCTGTTGTCATATGCCTATTTCATTATTCTCGTTTTGTTTACAAAATTATTTACTAATATTAAAAAAGCTAAAATAATTTAACCTACTTTATTGCAACTGAACCCGAAAAGATTTAAATCATTATTTATATCAAATTTAACTATATTAGATGTAATTTCACTAAATTAGATGTAATAATTTTCAATAAATTCCAAAACCTAGTCGTTAGATTGGAAGTTGCAACAGGGCTTACACCGGCATGGATATTTACGTTGTTTATTATAAGCGCACAGCGGCTTACACAATTATTTATTGATAAAAAAAGTTGTATCTGCGTAAAATAGCGTGTTGATTGTCGAATTATTCTTGGCATCGTGAAAAATTCGTCGTGACGTTCCTGCGGCTCCGACACACCCAGTACATGACGCGAAAGGCCTGGTCGCTGAGAAGATCACTCCTAACATCCGCTCGGTCAGTGATCTTCGGCCAAATTCAATTGCCTCAAAAAACGAAGGCACCCAAGGACTACCGCTTTTTGCATTTTCACCACTAGTTGTCTTGATGAGTCTCGGCAAGCCGGTTTTTTTCGTAGCTCCGTGAGCATAGTGTCCTTGATTCCCCCTAAAACACCCACAATTAGAACTACCATTCGTACATTATATTTTGGATACATTCTTTGCAGCTCACCAATCAGTGGAATGTATTTGGCATGCTTTTCCCTCTCCTTAATAAGAATGTTGGTTTCAGCTGGTGCAGAAAACTCAATGACAAACATTGAATGACTCTGCTTGTCCAACAGCACCAAATAGGGCGTGTTGTCTGGTTGTTGTGGGATTATTATTTATTATTTTTATTATTATTATTTTAACTTTTATTATTATTGTATTATTTTTTCATGAAATATTTATATTTATTTTAGTGCCAATGACTTCGAAGAAAAGAATTTTTGGTTTACAAGATTTGGAATCTGTGGCACGAATAACCAATCTTCCTATTGTGGAGACAGGATGGAGTTATGCCGAAGGCTTCTACAGTAAAATTAAAGTAAATATCTATTTTTATGAACACATATAATAAATTTGTTTGCACTTACTTTAAAAAAGTAGTACCGAAGTATGCTGCTCCAGAATAGTTCCACCCAGGCATTTAGTATCAAGGGGGTAGAACCCACCAAATGGCCTCGTTCAAAAATAGGGGCTTCTAGAGATATGTCTCGGCGACGTTATTGGCCTGTAGAAGTTTGACAAGCCAAGAAGCACTTCCTTAATACCTTTCAGCCACAACCAGCAGAAATTTTGACAAACTGAAAGACAAATCTGATATGTCCCTGGAGGATGCATAATGGGCCCAGTGAGGCTTAAGTGATATGGGGGCAATTGACCCTCCTCCACCTTACAATTATATGTCATCATATTTTCATGTTTTTTTTTATATTTACAGAATTCTAATTCTTTAATACATTGGACTTTGGATTCAGCTGAACATTCAGCCCAATCAGTTCTTGAAGCTGCTTCACCTGCTATGATTTTATTAAAAGGACCGATTACTTCAATTGATCAAATAGTTTGTAGAAGCCTGGACATCGTTGAGCAAACCGTGCCATCCATTAATTTGCCACCAGAAATGGTAAGTTTTATTTTGTTTTAAAAATTTTAACATTTTAACAGTTTTTGTACAAAAAAAAAGATGCGGTGTTGAGATCATATGACGTAATAATATAGCTTGGGTATAGGGTGTGCGAAGTCAATCTGCCGATGACTTTTTAAGTAGTGAAAATTGTAGTTTTTTATTTCTAGTTTCAAATGGCATAGATTGTCTACAAATCGTCTAGTGGATAAGATAGTCTAGTTAACAAGTGCTTTTTGGGTCAAACTTTTTTCTCCGTCTCCGAATAATATGAACGAGGTGTCATAATTTACATCAAAGATTACGTTTCTAAAAAAAATTAAATTATCTTATAAACAACGCATTTGTTTATAACAATTTTTTAAACAATAGAAAATAAAAAATTTTAAAAATCATTTTCATATGGCTTCTGATGATAAAAAAACGGGGATCAATGGTAATATAAAATAAATATTTTTTTTTAATGATTATTCAAGCTTTTTAATTTTTAACCTAAGTAATAACAAAGTGAAATATAACATTTTTTAATTTTCCCAACGGGAATCTCTTATGAGACTGTTAAAAAATTACTCAACACACAAACAAGTTTGAAATAAAAGTTATATGGATTAAAAAAATATTTTTGGATATACTGGGTGTTGCGTTTTTGCCTGGAAAATCAAAATGTATAATTTGTAAATAAAACTCCCTGTATTTTATTTCAGATTTAGAATAGTTTGGTAAAACTGTATTCAACCCTTGACTTTTATTTATTTATTTTGGATCACTCCTTATAAATATTATACAATGTTTAAAAGTTGAAAATTTCCATATAAGTACAACTTTTTGATATTTATACGATTTTTTAGATTTATTGGAACACAAAACAATATATGGCGGAAGTTGGAACCAAAATTGCTCAACCAGTTTTAAAGAGGGCAGATTCAGTTAAACAAATTGGAAATACTGTACTTGCCAGTAAATACACGGCTTTTGCTGCAGATACATTGGACGGAGCTCTGAACGTAGCTGAAAAATATGTTGACAAATATTTACCAGATGAAAACGATAAAACCCCTGAAGGTAAAAAAAAAATTAATCAATAGAAGACCCCACACCAATCATTAATAATTTTGCATTTTGGTCAAATTTAATAAAATTGTCAGGGATCATACAGTAACTTCTGCTGATTAATAAAGAAAATGAGAAGAGATAATTACATCTTCCTACCAGCCTCAAAGTACCGTAAAACAAAACTAAGTAATTTTTTATCAAACCGATCACAGATTATTGATCAGCAGAACTCATCAAATTTGACATAAATGAAAATCACAGAAAGTCTGTCAACCATAGGATCTTTAGATATTTTCAAAAAAATGTATAAAGCTTGCAAGAGCTTTCGATATCTTCAGATAGAGAAAAATATGTAGAAAAATCACCAGAATAAATCCCTAAATAATTTTAGACGTCTTGGTCACATTCGAGTTGGAACTATTTCTTTGTTCTATAAATCCCTAAGCTTCGCCAACAATTTATATTAAAGTTTTAAAATATAAAAAAAAATGTGAAGATTAATGATGATGAAAAGACTATTGATTTATTTTCATATACGTTTACGTTTAAATTTTCATCCATTTGTTGATTCGAAAAAAGTTGGCTTTGTGTTAATTTGCATTTTACTATGTTATTTACATTTTTGTTTCGATAGCTATAGTCCATTACAATTACTCTTCTCTTCATTAAAATATTCTTTCGAGGCAATTCTTTACGTTTATTGTTCTTTATTATCTCTAAAGTTGTTTTGTCATCTGGTTCTAACACTCACTTATGGTAGGAGATTGTTTTGGAGTTATTAATATTTAATGTTTAGGTACTTATTGTGATATTTCTGTTTAGTGTATATAAATATGTAATTAGTGCATTTTTTCGTTTTTTGCTTTTCCCATCCAAGTAATTTCAGATTATGTTGTGTAGAAATTTTATTTATACATAGAGTTTTTGGGTGTTGCTTTTAAGGTTTTCACCGTGGACTCATGTGCCGTGGGCATTCTTCCAAGTAGGTAAGTATAGTTTTTGTAAAGCCGTATCATACTGTAAGACTGTTATTGTTTCATTATGCACTGAAGCATGTTGACCTTTTGCACACTAAACAAGTTTATAAAACCGGGGTGAACTGTATTCCATAATACATTGGTTGCCTACTACGTATTCAAGAGGTTGCTCGTTGTAGATTCTTTGACGATCGTTAATAGAAAGACACCTATGTTGTAATAATGTTTATTTAATCAGGATGTTGAACACAACACTACATTTTTGTTGCGTTTATACATATCTACATCAATTGCCCAGAATATTTATATTAGCATGAGCGTCTAGCTCTTATATGGTAGTTTTGCCGCAATAGCGGCGTGGGTGGCCCAAGCTCGTTCGATATTGCTTGGTGACCGGTCAATGTGTGACACAATACAGTGCTTTTCAGATAAAAGTATCCACCTTAAGTAACTTTTGAAGGACTGATTATTACAAAAAACAAAAAATACGTCAATTAATATTCGAAGGGGGAGATATCGTACCATATTTAAGTTTGCTAAAAAAGTCACCCTTTCACCCCTACTATCATCCCCTCAATTTTTTTAAATGGCTTGCCCCATTTTTTTATCCATTTTTGGATTGCTCTCGTTTAACTGATTTCAAAAATGTATAAAACATGGGGATTAAAGTAATTAGTTTACGATCTACAGAATTTTAAATTAAAATAAAATTGAATTGTGCAAAATTTTTATTTTAATGATTTTGTCACAAGCGTTTCCAATGACAAAACGAATATTTCATTTTCAAAATTTATTATAAAAATTGTTCAAAATGTCCACCATTTACTTCCATACAATGGTATAACCTAGATTGAAAAGCCTCCCTGACATTACCGAACACGTGTGCATTTAAATGTAGGCATTTATACTCTATTCTTTGTAGTAAATCTTCTAAAGATTCTGGTTGGGTAGCATAAATTTTTGTTTTTAAATAACCCCATAAAAAGAAGTCTAGAGGTGATAAATCCGGTAATCTAGGTGGCCACTCCATCATCGAGCCTCTTCTACCTATCCAACGATTGGGGAAAGTTTCATTTAAAAATTGTCGTACTGGCAAAGCAAAATGTGGAGGCGCTCCATCCATTTAAGTTTCCGTCTAAAAAGAAAGGTCCGACTATGTGGTCACCTAGGATATCACACCATACATTTAACTTTTGATGATTCTGTGTGTGGTATTCACGCACAACATGTGGACCACTCTCAGCCCAATATCTGCAATTATGTCTATTAACTAAACCATTAACTGAAAATGTGCATTTATCCGAAAAACAAAGGTTGTGCAACAAATGTGGATTTTCAGTCAATCGCTGACTCAATAGTTCATAAAATTCAAGACGACGATCAAAATCATCTTCATACAACTCTTGAACCAATTTAATTTTGTATGGATGGTACTTATGCTTGTGTAATATTCGATAAACTGTGGAAGATGAAACACCTACTTCTCTGCTTATTGTTGTCAGTGACTGTGCTTGTTGATTTTTAAGACTTACTTGTCCTAAAACTGCGACTTTAATTGCTTCGTTATTTACGAGTTCCAGTCGGTTATGTTTTTTATTGCCAACTGACCCGGTTGATGTAAATTTATGCATAAGATCAATTACATACTTATGAGTTGCATGACTTCCTTGGTGTGTTTCGTTGAAAATTCTAGCAGCAGCTCGTGCAGAACTGTTATTTTTGTAGTATAAACCAATTCTTTCTTGTAAACTGTAAACCATTTTCAAATCAAATAAATAACCTCAACAAATCAATGTGCACATGTATCAAAATACACTATAAAAGTAATTTAAATTCATTTTTCAAATCTCCAATACCTTTACCATGTATCATAAAAAACTTCAACAAGTTTTTAGCGGTACGATTAAGGTATAATGTATTCTAAATCCAATTTTGCTGCAGTCAGTAAGGTGAGATGTAAAAATGTGTCACTCAAATTATGGAACCCTGTAGATCATAAACTAATTATTTTAAACCCCATGTTTTATACATTTTTGAAATCAGTTAAACGAGAACAATCCAAAAATGGATAAAAAATGGGGGAAGCCATTTAAAAAAATTGAAGTGATGATAGTAGGGGTGAAAGGGTGACTTTTTTAGCAAACTTAAATATGGCACGATATCTCCCCCTTCGAATATTAATTGATGTATTTTTTTGTTTTTTGTAATAATCAGTCCTTCAAAAGTTACTTAAGGTGGATAGTTTTATCTGAAAAGCACTGTATATCCCCTGTAGTAGTGCATCTCACTTGTTAAAGAGTTGGCATTAAGTTTGCAGCGCTAAAATGCGTATATGTCTGTCCGCTCAACTAACTCGATATGGCGGTAAATTCAAATATAATTTTAAGGCGAAATTTAAATTTCCCGCCAAAATCGTAAATTTCCAGTAGCGAAATGGCGGGAATTTTTAAATATATTCATTCGGCAATAACTGAGAAGTATATTGCATGTTCCATTAAACGAGCTGTAAATCCAGGCGATATTTTTATTTTGATAGCTAAAAATAATACTAATTCTTTTTTTGTTAGTTATTACAATAAAAGCAGCATTTGGATTAAAAACACATTTAAAAGAACATGTAATATACTTTTTAATTTCACCTGAATCACTTATTTTTTATCTATAGAGGTTAGATCTGAAAAAAAAATTGGCTCTGGTAAAAAAACAAAAAATTGTATAAAGTATTTTATTTGAAAAATTATAAAACATATTTAATTTATTTTAAAGTCGAAGATAACTCTATCCATATTCATTTTACTGAAAAAAAAAAAGAAAGTATTAAATGAAATCATTTAGTTATTAAGAGATGTTTGTGATAATACTGTGACAGCTATTGAATGTTGTACAATACGTTTTGCTAATGGCCAAGTAAAAACTACAAAGAGTTAGCATTAGTGGAAGATGGAATAGAATACTATGAACGTAGCTAGCCGGCTACGAGGGGATGCATAGCACCGTGTGCCTGTTCATATTACACAGCACACAAGGCAACATTTATATTCGTTTCCTGATCGCACTAATGCTAACTCTTTAGTTTTCTCTTCGATGCTAGCCAAGCGTATTGGAAAGTGTTCATTAGCTAATACTGTATATAAATGCTAAAATCAATAAGTAAAATAATTTTTTTTAGTTTAAATGAACACCTACTTCGAAAAAGGAGAGAAACTGATATAGTAAATTATTATACTTGAATTTTAAAGGCTGTTGCCACTGGAAAAAACTATTATCTAGGGCTTGGATGACAACCATAGGACTCCCTCTTTGAATCGTGTCCATAGGAAATCATAAGATCTTAGTTAAATTATAATATTAAGAGGGTAGTTATTAACTGAAAACATATGAAAAATTATTTCAAACTTACCTCAAAATTGGCACCTACATTAAAAGAAGGGAAAACGGAAACATAAAATTGTTATACTTGAATTTTAAAGGCTTTTCCCACTAGAAAAGTATTATCTAGGGCGGAGACCCTTGGATGACAGCCATAGCAATCCCTCCTTGATTCTTCTTTTTCTGTGTTTGTTGTACGTTTTTTTCCCATATTAAACAAGTAAGCACTTAATACAACAACACAAATCACAATAAATATCGCTGAAACAAAATTAATATTAATAAACGGTATAAATTTCGTAGAAGAAAAAACCAAAAAATTATCACTTGTCAATACTGACACTTTATGCTTCACTTGTCAAAAACTTCCTCTTCAACCAATGAACGTGCCGATGTTGGACGTGTCAAAATTCCGAACCTAACAGAGCCATGAGGCTTGTGTCTGGCCGCAGCATAACTCAAAGCCATTTCTTGAATCGCAGTTACATTACTATATAGGGGATATATTGTGATGTGTGACTGAATTGATGTCGCTGATGGCGGGCTCGATCCTTACTCTTTTCATTACTCGTTATTCGCGATTCAAATTAATTTTCGCGCGCCTGTCGTTTGTCACCTATACTGCCGTCATAATGAAAAACGCAGTAACCTAAGAAATTGTAA